TCTTTACTCTTTACCCCTGAAAGATTCGTATCTTTCAGGGGTAAAGAGTTTTCTGTTGCATGTTAGCTTGGGGAGCAATCAAACTTGACGCACAAATGATATTCACGTGGCCCCAGCATGATGAAGTGATAAGATGAAACATCTGTGCTAAAAATAGTCACCCGAGAACTGTCGGAAATTGGGTTAAGGGTCTGATGACCTCCAATTCTTTTGTAGTCAGTGTGGCATAGTGGTAACAGTAGTGGACACGCCAAGGGGCATGCAACCCTGGCTGTCCGGGTTCGAATCATTCAGGGGTAAACGGGTACTGTGTACGTTTAGGGGTGATCCTGTATGTCATGGGTTCGAATCCTAGCCGGAATCAAATAGATTTCTTAGTGAACTATGACTTGCGCGTTCATGCAGCCTTTCTCACATTATCTATATAAATAAAAATGTAAATGTTCGTTTGTTCAAAATCGCTAATCTCCCAAAGTTCTTCACGATTGCTTTGCAATTTTGACACAACCTTCCATTTGCATACGAGCATGTTTATATATACCTACTATATAGATGTCACGTCCCTACAAAAAACATGCCTTTTTTTAAAACTGTGTTCTTCATGTGTGTTTTCATGTGAGGGAAATCTCTGAAACTTCTTAACCGATTGCTTTGAATTTTTGACTCAATGTTGCATTCGAATACATGTGTGTTTTTTATACCTACTATATACGTGCCACTCCTGTGACAGGTAAAAAGATGTTTCTTTGAAAAACAGCACCATCTGTTGCACATAAAAGCAACACACACTGTAATCCCTGAAAGTTCTTCACTGATTGCTTTGAAATTTTGATACAACTTTCCACTCGAATACGCACATGTTTTTATATACCTACTATATAGATGTCATACCTGTGATAGGTAAAAACATGCTTTTTTTGAAAAAACAGCACCATTTGCTGAACATAAAAGCAACACACACTATACTAAATATGTTACGATTCCATTTTAATCAGAACACCGGTTGCATATTGCTCCTGCTATCTGGATTCAAGTCACTTCTGGAGTGTGGAGTTTTCAGTTGCATATATGCTTGGAGACCATTTAAGCTTGTTTGCATTTGTGTTGCTCACAGGGCCTCACAAAGTGAGGTGATTTAATGAAATAACTATGCCCAAGATTACCATCAAAGTGCAATCGGGACGGTAGTCAAATAGTGTCGGCTATCTACTACCCCGGGTACAGGGGTACATGTACCCAGGGTACCCTATACAATATATACATATTATATACTAGCTGTAACCGGCCACACATTGCTGTGGCTCAGCAATGCATGCACGTTGATATCCGAGGATATTTGACCACGGTCCCGATGGCACTTTGATGGTAATTTTGGGCATAGTTATTTCATCAAATCGCCTCACTTTGTGAGGCCCTGTGAGCAACACAAATGTGAACAAGCTTGAATGGTCTCCAAGCATATATATAACGGAAAACTCCACACACCAGAAGTGACTTGAACTCAGACCGCCAGGAGCACAATGTAACTGGTGTACATGGTACCTTAACCACTCGACTATCAGTGACCGTACAAAAGACGACGATAGCCGAGGCTATTTGACTACCGTCCCGACGGCACTTTGATGGTAATCTTGGGCATAGTTATTTCATCGAATCACTTCACTTTGTGGGGCCACGTGAGCAACACAAATGCAATCAAGCTTGAATGGTCCCCAAGCATATATGCAACTCAAAACTCCACACCCGAGAAGTGACGCAAACCCAGAGAGTCAGGAGCAATATGCAACTGGTGTACATGGTACCTTAACCACTCGACCAATAATGCATATATGCTTGGGGACCATTCAAGCTTATATATATATATATATATATATATATATATATATATATATATATATATATATATATATATATATATATATATATATATATATATATATATATATATATATATATATATATATATATATATATATATATATGAAAACTCACACCCCAGAAGTGACTCGAACCCATACTCCCAGGAGCAACGCAACTGGTATGTACAAGACGCCTTAATCCACTTGACCATCACGACCGGACATAATGAGGTGATAGCCGAGGCTATTTGAACCACCCCACCGCCGGCACTCGGATAGTAATCTTGGGCATAGCATTTTACCAAATCACCTCATTCTTTGGGGCACACGTGAGGAACACAAATGCGAACAAGCCTGAATGGTCCCCAGGACAATATGCAAATGAAAACTCACACCCCAGAAGTGACTCGAACCCATACTCCCAGGAGCAACGCAACTGGTATGTACAAGACGCCTTAATCCACTTGACCATCACGGCCGGACATAATGAGGTGATAGCCGAGGCTATTTGAACCACCCCAGCCGGCTCGGCAGCCTCGGCTATCACTTTCCTTTTGACGGCCGTGATGGTCAAGTGGATTAAGGCGCCCTGTAGTTACCAGTTGCGTTGCTCCTGGGAGTATGGGTTCGAGTAATCTTGGGCATAGCATTTCAGCAAATCACCTCATTCTTTGGGGCACACGTGAGGAACACAAATGCAAACAAGCCTGAATGGTCCCCAGGACTATATGCGAATGGTCCAAACTCACACCCCATAAGTGACTCGAGTACCCATACTCCCAGGAGCAACGCAACTCGTAACT